TGGTTGACTGATGAGAGCTTGGCTACCACACCAGTGCTATCTGCTCCATCCAGGCTAAGGCTTCCATCTTCTTCCTTTAGGTCAGGGAGCACATGGCAGAGTGAGCAACTCCACTCCTCCCTATGGTGAAGAGTAGCAGAGATGTCAATCATGACAACTAGCCCTCCGTGACCGATCACCTGACGCTGCCCACCCTCACACGTACCCTGGCACGTCCTGCAGGGCAGGGAGGTGGCAATCCAGGTGAAAGCAAAACTCGCACTGGTTGCACATGACCAGGTCACCTGGCTTCTGGCAGACACGACAGATAGTGGCACTGTCATCCAGGACACCTGGTCCACCTACAGGGGCTGAGGTACCCTCAGGAGCCACCACTTCCAGGCCTGAGCTGGTACTGCCACTAGGTGAAGCCAGACGGGGTCCCTCAGCACCAGGGCCTTCAGCCAGAGCCATCAATACGGGCTTGGTCTCAGGACCCTCAGTGGCAGCAGGTGGCGCTCCAATAGCAGCTTCTGTCTCTTCTTCCTATAAAACAGGCTGAGTGTTATTATATCCAAATCTGGGGCGACAGATGTCCCTCTCTAACCACTGTTCTGCATTTTAGGACAGACTCACCTTGACAATAGCCATGCCAGGCAACGGTAGGGCACCAGGAGCTCCTGGAGGCACTGTTCCAGTCTGACCAGCAGCTGCTGCAGCAGCACCACGCTCAATAACAATCAGATTGTAGTCCTCAGTGGTGCTGCCAGGAAAGACCTTGAAGACTGGTGGCTGGCTATCAGCAGTGAGATCCAGATCCAGACGTTCAAGGCTCACACGCGGCACCTTCCGCATGAGGCCACTTACCTCCCCCTCACCAGAGCGGGACCTGTAAGTATAGCATGTTATGAGATCCTACGAGTCTCTCTCTACCACACCGGTAAAGTACTACACCCACCCACGCCATCCAACGGGCTGCCACACTCACCGCTTCATGCCAGACACATGCGGCTCTGCGCTGGAGTATGGATCATCTGTGGGAAGACAAAGGGTTGGTAGAAAAGACAGACACAGGGTACTCACCAAGCCCTTCCAATTCCCCAGGCAAACTACTTACCCGACCCAAAGCCATAGCCCTCTTGTACTTCCATGGGCTAGAGAAAGAACAGAGAATGCTCATCAGTGGGGCAAGTACTCCACGGCACCCTATGGCCCTCACCCCTTTCCTGATTTCTCTCCCCAGCGCACCTGGCTGACACCAGAGCCTTGCTTGCCTGGCTTTGGCGCTCTTGGAGGAGCCATGGGCCCAGGACCTGTGGAGTTTGTACCAGGACGCTCAGCCACGATCTTACCTAAACAAGAGAAAATTCTCAATAGACGAAAGCAGTACTGCCCAAGATGCTCCCCAGGTCAGGCAAAAGCAAAGCCCACACTACCTACCAAAAGCTTCTGCACTCTTGGTCCAGGCATTGAGATCCCACTGAAACTTCATCTCCCCATGAGGTTCCACGGGGTCCACAATCATTTTGAGAGCGCGGTGCAGCTGGAAATAGATCTGATGGGGCAAAGGGGCAGAAAGGCAGCACATGAGCCCACTTGGCAACTTAGAGGGTCCCAAAGGTGCCGAGGGCCACCTGGCTCAATGAAGCCCACACTACACACCAGCTTCTTAGACAGCAAGAGGGCTGTATTGTTATCACTCTCCAGAGCCCAAGAAGCAAATCGCAAAAAGTGTTCCTGATGCTTCTGGATTTTGGTCATGGTCCAGTGCTGGCGCTCCAGGCGCTCCTGCTGCCCCTCTGTCACTTTCTGCAGGTCAAGGAGAACAGGGTTAGCAAGAAGGCAAGGCAGTGAAATTAGGACCATTCTCCACCCAGGATGGGGTCATGCCAGGAACATGAGCTTCACCTGGGCATCATTGACCAGAACCCGGCCCCGTTTGTTCAGCTCCTTCATGATCTGCAGAATGGCCATCTTGACATCGACCTGCACACGCTTCTGCACGTCAGAGACCTGGCGGATACTAATTAAAATGACAAGTCAAGCCAGAAAGCCTTGCCCCGGGACCCCAATTGCCCCGGGACCCCAATAGCCCCGGCACCCCAATTGCCCCGGCACCCGCACTTACGAGCTGCGAACCTCCTTGGTGTTCTTCTGCAGTGTGGCATGTTTGTCCCCCAGGCGCTTCACCAGAGAGGCCAAGAGTTTACGCTGGTTCCGCACTGCATCTTCCAAAAACTGGTACCTGAAACCACAAAAAAGTGAGCCTGCAGGCTCAACTTGCAAGCAGTGGCACCCACCTACCCACTGTGACTTTGGACTCACTGATGGTCCTTGTGAGCGTTGAGCTGGCAGTCCCGGCAGGTCAGAGTGTCACAGCTCTCACAGAAGAGCACAAGGGGTTCGTGCTTGTGGACGCTACAATAGACTGTGCGCTCACCATCTGGAGTCTTAGCAGGCCCTGCGAAGGAGGAATCATGCCCTTAACCATCTCCAACTCAAGAGCAGACATAACCCACATCCATTTCCAGCTCCTCCTACAACCCTGGCCACCTCTGGAGAAGACCTACATCAACAATGAAGCATTATGGTCTCCCAGATGACCACACCATCCACAATATTGGATACAGAGAGCTTGTGAAGAACCTCCGTACTATTTCCTGGTTATCTGTCTTTCTAACAAACCATCCCCAAATAAACAAGATCGTGATGGCTTAGACTAGTGACACCCAGACAGCAAAACACCAGTACGTCCCCATTAAAAAGCTAATTACATTACCAGCACCCAGGAAACTCAAAGATGACCACAAGTTCAAGGTAAGCTACAGATAGTGACTCCAAAGCCAGACTTGTCTCTGTAGCTGAGACTGATCATCTTGAAAAGAAGAGAGAGGCCGGGTGTGGTGGTGGAGCACACCTTTACTCCCAGCACTCGGGAGGCAGAAGGAGTTCGAGACCAGCCTGGTCTACAAGAGCTAGTTCCAGAACAGCCTCCAAAGCCACAGAGAAACCTTGCCTCAGACCCCCCCCATCCTAAAAAAAAAAAAAAAAAAAGCATAAAACAAGAGAGGCTGGACATAATCCCAGGACTCAGAAGACAAAGGCAGACAGAAGTCAAAGACAGAGTCTGATTGAGATCAACCTGAATTACAGACCACCCAGGACTACATACTAACCTATCTTCCCAAAAAGGTCTGATGGGGCCCAATAGGATCTCTGTTAAGTGTGAAGGCCAGCCTGGTCTACATGGTGGGTTAAAGGATAGGAATGGCTCTGTAGACCTTTTCTCAAAATACAGAAATGCTGGGTGTAGCAACACCTTTAATCAGAGCACAAGAGGCAAAGGTAGGTATCTAAGTTGATGCCAAGGCTGTTGACAGAAAAAAAACGTTTGTCTTGGGGAAAAAAAAAAGGGGTTGGGGTAAAACCATGCATACTGGCAAGTGCCTTTTGTTTTTGTAGAAAGAGTTTCTGTCTGGCCTTGGCTGTCCTGAACTCACTCTGTAGACCAAGCTACCCTTGAAGCTACCCTGCCTCTGTGAATCAGATGTGTGCACCACCACCGCCAGGCTTAATCCAAGCAATTTTGGAGCTATGGAAGGAACATCAAGAGTCCAAGGCCGCTGGGCGGTGGTGTACACCTTTAATCCCAGCACTGGGAGGCAGAGGCAGGCAGATCTCTGTGAATTCAGGACCAGCCTGGTATACAAGAGCTAGTTCTAGGAAAGCCTCCAAAGCCAGAGAAACCCTGTTTCAAAAAACATAAACAAATAGAGTCCAAGGCCAGCCTGGGCTATAATAAGACAATATCTCACCAAAACAGAAACTAATAGACTTGTCAGTCCCCTTCCTCCCAATTCTAGTCCAATCCAGACTATACTAACCAAGCCCAAACTACGTACCAGAACACAGGCCAGTCATCATTACCCAGTGCTGTACCCCTGTTCTGTCCTGACAGAACCTACAGATTCCTTCCTATGCCTCCTGGCTTCTCAGACCCCCACCCTACCTTCCACTACCACCAGCACCCTGTCCTCTGGGGTGGGAATCAATACAACTATCACACCAAAAAGTTGCTCCCCACTAAGGCATCTGTCTGGCCCAAACCACCCACCCACCCCAAAATCAAAGTCTATTTCACACCCAAGCCACCATACAAATTTAAAATCCTAGATTATCTGACCATGAGTCTTCAGGGAAGGTACCATACTTAAGGCTCACTGGAAATCATTCCAGGACTCACCCTTACTGATGGACCAAAGCCTTACCAACCTGTCAAGATGGTTGGTCAAGAAACCCTTCCTGGGGGCTGGAGAGATGGCTCTGAGGTTAAGAGCACTTGCTGTTCTTTCTAGAGGTCCTGAGTTCAATTCCCAGCAACCACATGGTGGCTCACAGCCATCTGTAATATCTGGTGCCCTCTTCTGACCTGCATGAATATATGCTGCAGGCAGAACACTGTATACATAATAAATAAATCTTTAATGAAAAAATAAAAGAAACCCTGCCTGTTCCAGAGCCCTTACTTTTCCAGCAATCTAAAGCCAGAAGCCAGACAGGGAACATTCAAATCCAAAAAGTCATTTCCATCTTGCTTTCACTGGCTGCTTACGATAAGGTGTCTACCACCAGGACCCACTCACTCACTGTCTGAGTTTCCCAAGATGGTATTAGTTCAATCCTTAGTATTGACTGCAACATACTTAAGACACCCTACACACACTGCCTGGCTAGGACCTTTCCCTTCCCATCTAGAACCCCAGATTACTGAACCCAGGAACTTTTTCTGTTGTGTCAGGTCCCTGGAAAACCATCCAGCAAGCAGCCATTTTGGGCAAATGAAAGAAGACGGTAGCTCCAACAGCCTCCAATTTTTCACCTACCTGTGGAGCGCACAGTGTGGTCCTTGGTATACTTCACCCGCTGGTGGGCCTCCACACAGGTCTCACACAGTGGCTCAGAGCACTCCACACAATAGCTAGTGGCTGGGGCATTATCTTCACAGCTAGTACAGCACTGTGAAAGAGAGGAGGGTTAGAATCGGCAGAACCGCGCAGCAGACACGCCACTTACTTCCCAGAACACACAACCTAAACTTCCTATAACCATGCCCTCAAATCTGTACTGCCCTCCGGGAAGCTGGGGTTAGATCCCGAAAACAGCCAAGCAAGCTGAGGATGGTGAGGCTCCAGAAAAAG